TTAAAATATTAATTCAATTTTAACATTTTTGAAACCAATGAGTAGGCCTACTTTTTTTTTGCATTTTCTTCATTTTTAATAAAATCGAAAATACAATACAAAGTGTACTATTTGCTTTAAAAACTGTTAAGCAGCTTGTGACCTCGAAATGTTATTATCTCCCTTTCTAGTTTCTTCATGTTCGTGGTAGGCACATAATCACTAGTACCAGAAGCGTAGCGAGGGGGGGGGGGGGTGACACCATTTAGGGGGGTGACACCAAGGCAAAAAATAGCAAAATATATAGAGAAAAACTTGAGGGGGGGAGGGTGCAAATCTAAAATTTGTCCTAGAAAAGGGTCGCTACGCCTTTGGGGGGGGGGGGGGGGGGGTGACACCATTAAGTGCCTCACCGGGTGACACCCGACCTCGCTACGCCACTGACTAGTACTTCCTCCTGCTATCTACCCTTTTGTTACTGAATATATTAATCCTGATTACTTATTTAGATTAAATTAAATTAACTAGTTGTGTAAATGACTAAATTAATGTCTAATTAAATTGAAAAGTAAATATTGATGTGCTGTCTTTGGGAGAATAATGAATCTGGAATGTCTGAACGAAATCGTTGCATTACAAGTGGGTCAGAATTGAGTTACAAGATTAGCTAAAAACCCAATAGACAGACATTGTACACTAAATACAGTGGTAGCTCGACATACGAGCCGTCTAGTGAGCAATATTTTGCTTTGAAATACGAGAAAATTTGAGATACGAGGATCCTTGCACAGGTTTTGTTTATAGACTAGTGAAAAGTGGTGTCAGAAATTAAACAAAAGTTTAAAAAATAAAATGTTACTGGGATTTTTAAATTTAATTAATGTCATTAGAGTTTAGTTAAGGTCAGTGGGGGAGGGGGTGGGGGGTGGACCCTTGATATTTGGGGTGGGGGTGGGGGCGGACTAAATTTTCCTATGGGGCGGAAATATTTTCTATACAAATTCCAATTCGTTCGGCGGGGGGGGGGGGAGGGGGGGGGGGGGCTGTAGACTTTTTCGAGGGACTCAATGCCTTAAAGAAACATTGGTTAAGGTCCATTAAGTTTAAGGATGATATTTAGCATTAACAGCATAACAAGTAAGTGAACGGGAAGTAAGCGACCGAAAGAGTATAGCATTTAACAAAGGGTAAGGGAACGAACTGAACCTCCTTCTTCCATCTCCTCGCTTGTATGAGCACTAAATAAACTTTCAATATCTTTGCTAACATCAGACACATATAAAAAAAAATATTTAAAATATTCATCAAACTACGCACGCTAACGACGCAATTATTCAGCCATTAATATTTTTCAACACTTAATAAAAAAGGATCATTGAGCGACTGATCCACGCGATTAGACAATTGACAACAGAAAAAAAATCTCCAGAAAATTGGAAGAATTTTAAAAGAGCTGGCATATCAGCTCACCATACTGCGCTATCAATATTCACGCAAACCGCGGTTTTTTCCCGATATCCCGCGTTTTAAGTGGCTTCTTGCAGCTTATCCTAGGATAAAATCCGTTGCGGAATTAGAATTATCTCGAGATTAACACTTCACCAATCTCAAATTTTAGATACATAAAAACTTTCCGAGCGTCTTTAAGAAACAATGCACATCTTTGTATAATCCTCTAGCCAAGGGAAGTAATTCATCACGTATGGGAGGTAATCCTACCAATAAATGAGAATTAGAGTTTTTAAGATGTTGTCGACTGTCGTAATTAATCTTGTGCCTGTCTGGAATAGATGATACTTTTATACAGTACAGTGGTAGAAATATAAATGGATGTAGGTTAAGTGGTTGATATAGGTGTGGTGGTGGATGTAGATTAGGTGGTTGATATAGAATGGATGGTGGATATAGGTGGACTGTACATATATGTTATATGGTGGATAAGAGGGGTGTGGTGGATATGAGTGTGGTGGATATAATATCATCCGTGTTGCACATAGATTTGTGCTGGTGGTTGATGTTAGTTTGATGTTGGTTTGGTGTAAAGTTGATATAAGTTTGATGTAAAGTTTGATGATAGCTTGATGCAAGTTTAATGCAAGTTTGGTATACATTTGTAAGTCTGATGTAAGTTTGATGCATGCTTGAAAATAGATATAACTGAATAGTAGTGGCAATAGAACTAGATTTTACTAGATACTGGTGGGTGATCGATAAAGATTAGTTGTGTTCTTGGGGGGCTCAGCAATAAAGCGGCAAGCGAATACGTCCTAATATGGATTCCATTAACACCTCAACAATTTAAAATTTAAAACGGACGTTCCGTTTAAATGAAAATAACTCACATCACACAAACTAAAGCTTTATGGTTTGATGAACATTATTTTCTGTTTATCTATTTTGTTTGTGTGTGTGTGGGAGGGGGGTGTGTGGCTTAAAAGAAAACTTTAATTGGTATAAATGGCTGTTCTCTGTATTGGAAAAGTTCATCAGGAACGCCAACAGGGACTTTTTTTTCATTTTTGTTAGGAGCCTACTTGAATAAGCTAATGGTTTAAATTTTATGCTATATTTATTAATGTATTAGCGGTTTACATTGTGTGCGTTGTTTTAAAAGACGTTTTTGTTGGACAATCTGATGTCAGGTCTACTTGTCCAAATCACACGTTTACTTTCTTAAGTCGGCTATACTATTTCTGGCCCAAATACAGAAACTAAGTCCTATGTTAGCTATTGATTCAAATTTAAAATTTAATTCCGAATTTGAAATAGATCTACGGTTAATTTCAACAATAGAAAAGCTATTACAACGGCCTGATTTAAAACAAGTTTTAAACGAACAATGAAATATAATTGTTCTCTACAAATTTAAACATATTCAATTTTATATATTGATCTCAGACCTAATTTAAAACAGTACTAAAGACAACCCCACACACATTAACTATACAGTAGAGTAGACAGGATGTTTACCACTAAAGGGGGGGGGTGTACATTTCTAAAAAAGTATAAAGATATATATATATATATATATATATATATATATATATATATATATATATATATATATATATATATATAAATATATATATATATATATATATATTCCATTAAGGTTTTTGGAATTTGAAATTGTGGTTACTTAACGTTTTAAATTTTGAAACTGTACGCACACAACTTCATCGCCATAACCTAATAAATAACATTAAAATGTATCTTTTTAGGATTTCAACTCATACCCTAACACTATCTCCCCCTCTGCCTACGCCACTGCATCTAAAGGTCTAATTCAACAGTTCAGTCTAATGTTATCTCACACTAAAGTACAACCCCCACGGCACTGTTGTGATCATCAGACACGCCCAGACTACTGGGAGAGTTTCAACCAGTGCAATGGTAGTCTGGGACGGAGAAAAATATGTGAAACCGAAGTGCAAAATGTTGATTCAAAAACCAGTTTAAAGCTGACTAATGAAATCCCACACAGGCTGGAGATAAAGTTCAATGCTATTAGATAACTCTTTAACCAAATACAAGCTCTTTCAGACTCTACTCTAAAATAACTTGTTGGGTTTGTTTACATCATTCACTCAACTGACTTGTTAACTAAATCTACCACCGGTTGTTCAAACTTCTTTAACGTTTCTATTTAAACAGTTCTCTTCTTATAACTGACTAAAATATTTTAAAGCTTTAAATTCAAAAGTCACTTGGACTTTTTCTATTAATTCACTTGTTTCGACGTTTTGTTATTGATTTTAATGGCATTCACGGTGAGTACTTAATTGAAGTGTATTCTGCTCACACGAGCTTATCATCCCACACAAGATGCACATTTGTTTACCACTGGCTAGACTGAAAATAATTAAAAAATCGAAGTCAACGAAAGTCTTGAAGACAACCCAAGATATAAAAAAGGCTAGAATTAAAACTTTAAAACAAACTTCTATTTATTTAAAACATTTGAATCGAGAAAATAATTTAAAGTTAAAAAAACAACAACACTTAAATTCCAAAAAAAAAAAGAAACAACTGTTAAATACATGACACAACACAACATTTTTTAAATCCTGACTTAAGGATATAACTCGGTGAAGTGTTAAGAATGTTTTAAGAATGTTACAATGTCTTTAAAGATGTCGCACATTTTATAAATTTCACTTGAAATGAAAGATCAGTCTTTTCCTGAATTGTTAAATTTATACGAAATAAATGTTGTAGTTATTTTTCATCCTTATTGAAACAGTTTTAGGTGTCTTTCCTACTATCATGTCAACAATCCCTATTACCATATTTGTGGCGCCCTTAACCTCTATGCTTTCCTTTACTCACACCCCCGGATTTTGTTGCTGACGTCGTTACTTTAACTTCTGTCATTTTGTCGCCAACGACTATATTTGCGGCGCCCTTTAATTTATTATAAGAATACCCCTAGTGACGCCCTTTAATGTATGTGTAACTTTCCTCTTGTACGCCCTCTAATCTATTTTTTAACCGCCCACCAGGATAATGTTTGTGGCGCCCTCTAATCTATTTTATTACCCCACCAGGATAATGTTTGTGGCGCCCTCTAATCTATTTTATTACCGCCCACCAGGATAATGTTTGTGGCGCCCCCTCTAATCTATTTTATTACCGCCCACCAGGATAATGTTTGTGGCGCCCCCTCTAATCTATTCTATTACCGCCCACCAGGATAATGTTTTTGGCGTCCTCTAATCTATTTTATTACCGCCCACCAGGATAATGTTTGTGGCGCCCTCTAATCTATTTTATTACCGCCCACCAGGATAATGTTTGTGGCGCCCTCTAATCTATTGTATTACCGCCCACCAGGATAATGTTTGTGGCGCCCTCTAATCTATTTTATTACCGCCCACCAGGATAATGTTTGTGGCGCCCTCTAATCTATTTTATTACCACCCACCAGGATAATGTTTGTGGCGCCCTCTAATCTATTGTATTACCACCCACCAGGATAATGTGTGTGGCGCCCTCTAATCTATTTTATTACCGCCTACCAGGATGTTTGTGGCGCCCTCTACCGTGCTGTACACAACTTGCCCCGGCGCCCCAGGACTTGAATGCCTGACCAGCGATGCCGAGTTGGAGGAACTCTCCAAGAAACTGATGGCCAACTCTGAAGGTCTCAGACTGCAGGTGGGTTTTGTCAGCCGTGGTCACGTGCCTGCTCGTCATGTGACCAAGTCTGTTTACAATCGACTTTATTTTTACACTTCCAGCTAGCTAGTCTAGTCAGTTTTATATATATACATAGATACACACACACACACACACACACATATATATATATATATATATATATATATATATATATATATATATATATATATATATATATATATATATATATATATATATATATATATATATATATGTGTGTGTGTGTGTGTGTGTGCGTATATATGTAAATATATTTATATATATACATATATACATATATTAACATATACTAAGGAGTTGATTATCACACCAGTCCAATAGATTTAATTAATTAAGAAAATTAAACGTTGATAAGAGTGTGTCATGAAGAAAAACGAATTTAAATACAGCCCGCTAAAGCGTATCTGAATGTTCCAAGAATGTTTTTAATGTCTTCAACACAAATTACGGCATTTCTCTGAGAATGACGTTACTATCAGTTCACAAACATAACGAGAACAAGACGTCACAACGAGACGTACAACCCTAACACAGACCTACACAAACATGAGAATAACGTCACAACCCTAACAAGACAATACAATCCTAAAATTGACGTGCACAATCCACAAGAATGACGCCACAACTCTGAGACGTCAGTACCCTGTTACATTACAGCATTTAAAAAAGACGTCACTACTGTTATACAGACCCCTAAAACTCTGAAAATAACGTCACAAGCCTTATACAAAAAAATATATTAAATATATAATTCTTCCTACACTACCCCAGGAACCCCCCCCCCCCCTCCCCACCCCGGGGCCTACAACTGAAGCTAAATCCTATTAGAAAACGAGTGAAGTAATGAAGCAAGTCAAAACCGTGTCTTGTTTACCAGCTCATTAAACTTAATCTTCAGCATCTACCCACCGTCTTCCAGGGGCGTGGCCCTTCCGGTTTGTTTCGCTCACCAACGATGTAGCAAAACGCTGGGCCCCCAATTAGCTTAAACATAGAATCGCTCTGAGTTAGATTTTACTGAGAATATTCTAATATGCAAAAAAAAAAAAAAAAAAAAAAAAAAAAAAAAACAGCAACACATCATTTGGCAAAAAAAAAAATAAAAATAAATAAAAATAAAAGAAAAATAAAAGAATGGAAAAAAAACCCTCTACTTTCCACTCATCTTAAGGAATTAAAGAATTCTCACCAACGTCTGCATACGGAATTCCCCTCAGTTTATAAATAAGAGTATGTAACGTGATAGTTTTTATGGAAACGCCTTTACAAAACGAAAACATTTTTTTTAAGGATGAAGGCTTTTATCGGTAATAAATGATGAACACGAGTGGTCTACGCATGTGTATATTGCGTAGAAAAGTAATTCACTTTTGCTTACCATAGCCCTAAAGGTTTTAGCCAAGCGTATTCAAGCCGGACTACTTATTTATAAATCATGAACACGTTCAGTTCTGTAGAAAAATTACATAATAACTCAATGTTAATAAATCTACATCGGTATTCACTCAGGTAATCAATAGCGCCAATCAAAAGACTATCGATTAGGATTGACGCGTTTTGTTTTTTTACAATCCTGAAGGAAAACCTCCAACGCAAACCTTTTATAACGATGCGCCATTAATGCATCCTAATTTATAAAAGCCCAATGTGCGCACATCTCTCTCTCTCTCTCTCTCTTTCTCTGTCCGCAAAAAATTTTCGCCGGACATCACGTCAGAATCGGCAGCGATATATCGAGAATTTTTTACGGACTTTTGTTGAAAATAATATGTTAGATGTTTTAAATGTATAACCACAATTTTATTTAAAGAAGAAAAATAAAAATTTAAGGCGTATTCGAATGTAGAGAAACAGTATTATTTATGCAACCGGAAAAGCAATATTATATGTGAAAAAGAACGCATAAAACTGTGACGTCACTATTGCTTATACATTAACTAATGACGTCATCTGCCGTGTTTAGAATGAAAAGAAATGAACTATTTCATTCAAATTTTATTTAGATCTACGTACACTATGAAATGTATACAATACAATTTTTCCGGCCTAAACTCATAAAATTTATTTTATGTATTTGGATTCTAGATCTAGAGATTCTAGATCTAGACTAAATCTAAATCTACGCAATAACTAGATCTAGACGTAGACGCTAAGATCTAGATTTAGACTCTAACTTCTCTAAAATCAATTCCAAAAATAAATTTCTATATTAGGACTAAACTATTTCAAGACTTATTTATTTTATACAAAATCTTTGTTATGAACTGGCTAATTTGGGATAAAAAATTAATTTGAAAGAATAGGCATATTCGCGTAAGTTAAGATTTTAAAATACGTCTTTCATTCTCCGTATTTTATAAGGTGCCTAAATAGCGGAGATGTTAGTGTACATTAAACCACGCAGGTGGTTTGGGTTCGAGACACAGCAAGTCAACTTGGTTGATGTATTCTTTTTTATTATGCACGGGCTAAACTTAAAAAAAAAATTCTTTTAGGAATCTAGATCTAGATCTAGATTGTCGGGTGTCCGATAGGGCACTTCCCGGCGCCGCAGGCGCTTCAAATTTGGCATGATCTTGCCTTGGTGCGACAGAACACGGGGGCCGGTGGCCGAAAAGTCTACGATGTGGGGGTCAAAACTGACCTCGACTGACCGGTACCTTATATGAGCTATAAATCGAAAAAAAAATGTCCACCGAGGAACCTCTTCATAACTCTTGAGGTCGTAGACCGACCTTCGGGCGAATTAATTAAGCATTCAAATTCTCAATGTTTTCGAAAGCCTAAGCGAAGCTGGGCAGCATGCCTAGTTCTACAATAAAATGCTATTTGTGCCTTGTTCGAATACTAAGCCAATCATTTGGTGTTATTTTTTCTTCAATAGCATACTGTTAAAATAATGTGATGCTAAATGATATATTGTATTATTAAAATACACAATACAATAAAACCACTATAGTTAGAACAAACAATACACTAAACCTGTTATAGTTAGAATATACAATGCACTAGAGGCACTATTATTGCAATATAAAACACAGTAAAGCCACTATTATTACAATATACAATATACTAACGCCGGTATATTTAGAATCTACAATAAACTAAAGCCGGTATATTTAGAATCTACAATTCACTAAAGCCGGTATATTTAGAATCTACAATACACTAAAGCCGGTATATTTAGAATCTACAATACACTAAAGCCAGTATATTTAGAATCTACAATTCACTAAAGCCTGTATATTTAGAATCTACAATTCACTAAAGCTGGTATATTTAGAATCTACAATACACTAAAGCCGGTATATTTAGAATCTACAATACACTAAAGCCGGTATATTTAGAATCTACAATACACTAAAGTCGGTATATTTAGAATCTACAGTACACTAAAGCCGGTATATTTAGAATCTACAATACACTAAAGCCGGTATATTTAGAATCTACAATACACTAAAGTCGGTATATTTAGAATCTACAATACACTAAAGCCGGTTTAATTAGAATCTACAATACACTAAAGCCGGTATATTTAGAATCTACAATTCACTAAAGCCGGTATATTTAGAATCTACAATTCACTAAAGCCGGTATATTTAGAATCTACAATTCACTAAAGCCGGTATATTTAGAATCTACAATTCACTAAAGCCGGTATATTTAGAATCTACAATTCACTAAAGCCGGTATATTTAGAATCTACAATTCACTAAAGCTGGTATATTTAGAATCTACAATTCACTAAAGCCGGTATATTTAGAATCTACAATTCACTAAAGCCGGTATATTTAGAATCTACAATTCACTAAAGGCGGTATATTTAGAATCTACAATACACTAAAGCCGGTATATTTAGAATCTACAATTCACTAAAGCTGGTATATTTAGAATCTACAATTCACTAAAGCCGGTATATTTAGAATCTACAATTCACTAAAGCCATTACGATGCAATACGCCACAGATGATGCCCCATCTCATCCGGTGAAGCCTTAAAATTGACTCCAAGATATTTTAACTGGCGGAGCTGTGAGTCATAGAAGCAATGAATTATGGGGGTTTTATGTGCTGGAGCGCTGGTCGATCGATTTATTTTGTACATATCTCTCCCCCCACCCCGTCCCCAGCATCTCTCTCCCACCCCGCCCCCAACATTTCTCACCCTCCCCGCCACTACACCCCATCCCCACCCAGAATCCCACGTCCTAATTTAGCAGAGCCCACATATATCCGACTTTAGTTAGCATTGAAAGACCTTGACTCTGGGAAACTAAAATAGTCTAATTTGTTTAGCCAATTGTTTTTAATGATTAGTTAATAGTTTAAGTTAACTTTTTACCTAGGCAAAATTACAAGGTAAAAAAAAAAAGAAAAATATTGGTTCAATTATATTTTTTAAATCTCAAGAGCGATCCTAGATTTTTTTGCGTTAGGTAGCAACATCACCCAATAAAGTCACATTTGACTTGACTTAAGGCGGAACAACTCAGCCAGTTAGTGATGTTTGTATGTGATAGTTTCAAGACTCACCCGACTGTCCAATTCTCCTCAGTGCTCGCCCGCTTTAAGTGGCGGATGTTTTTAATACCAGCGAAGTGGTGTTAAATGGCAATTAAGGCCGTAATTATCGTCACGCGCTGATTATGTACGAGGTCATTGAACTTGAAATGAATTGTTGTAGTTTAGTAGCTTGAAGTTGGAAGCGTTGTTATATTATGGGTGGGAGGAGGTTGAATAGAATGAGCAGTGTTTCTTCCAGACTTTTTTCTCTGGGGGGTGGGGGGGGGGGCACTTGAAATTTTCGGGGGGGGGGGCGGTAGGCTTTCTTCGGGGGGGGTGGGCACTTGAATTTTTTGCGGGGGGGGGGGGTGTGGGGGGCGGTAGACTTTCTTCGGGGGGGGGGGGGCGGACACTGTTAAAAGTATATATTTTCTATATAAATTATATAAATTTCATTTCGTTCGGGGGGGGGGG